CTTCACGCAAAGAGTGAGGAACATGTGGAATTCACTGCCACAGGAGATGGCGGCGGCTACAAGCACGGACGGCTTCCAGAGGGAATTAGATAAGCATATGGAGCAGAGGTCCATCCGTGGCTATTGGCCACAAGGTATAGATAGGAGGTCTCAGTCTGGGGCAAGGGATGCTCTGTATTCTTGGTGCTTGGGGGGGGGGACAAGAGTGGGAGGGCTCCTAGTGTCCTGGCCCCACTGCTGGACCTCCTGAGGGCCCCTGGTATTTCTGGCCCCTGTGTGACACAGAATGCTGGACTGGATGGGCCTTTGGCCTGATCCAACACTGGCTTCTCTTCTGTTCTTCTGACAGTGCATGGGGGGGGGGTGGCTGCACAGGGTTTGCTGCCTGAGCCATTATTCTGCGTTTCCTGGGGCACGGCCGAAACGCCCCAGGTGCCACACCGCTCTCCTCTGCAGCAGGGGTGCCCGCCGGCAGAGCCCCAGGAAACCGGCCGGTCGAGGCTGTGATCTGAAAGGGGGGCTCTGGCGCCTGGCCGGAATGACCGGGTGGGTTCAGGCCTGGTGCTTTTCGAGTGCCTCCGAAGGGGGCTGGTGGGCCGGCAAGCAGGGCCCCCTTACCTGTTGCCTGTTGTTGGGGGTGTAAGGGAGCATCGTCGAAACGTGGAACATGATCTCGTAGCCCTGGTAGGTCGTGTAGAGGGAGTGCGTGCCCGTGGAGTCGGCTGCGAGGCAAAGCGGGCGCAGAGAGGTCAGTCAGCGGGGAAGGCTCCTCTGCGGCCTCCTGCCCTGGGGGGGGGGCGCCGGAGGCTGCAGAGGACAGCCGGGGACCCTCCCTCCCGCCTGCCCGCCCCCCGGCCACAGAGACCTACTTTTGGTGTCCAGCTGGGCGGCATACTTGCTGAAGCCGCGGAGGCACACCTTCTCCCCGAGCAGCTCCAGGAACTCCTCCAGGGCCGGGCCGGCCTCCTCGTTGTTGTACATCTCCTCCTCCGAGCTCTGGCTAGCCTTGCAGTACAAGATGCCCACCTTGTGCTTTCGGCAGAGCTGGAGAGGAACGGAGGAAGGGCCCCGGGTGAGGTGCGCCCGGCAAGGGACCCACTGGCCTCTCAGCGACCAGAGG